TGAAGTACAAATTGCATCACAGTAAAGGCTGCCTCACTGTCAGGGGTCCGGAGAGGCCAGGGTGGGCTGCTTCGCTTGCATAAGGCTTGAAGCCAGATGCAGTTTCTCTCTCAGGTCAGGAACCACTGGTGTGTGCACAGAATATCGTGGAAGCAAAAAGCCCAAAATGGAGTCTTGGGTGGAGTTTGTTACATTTTACTGGTCATGTAGGTATATTCCTGCTAAATAGCCAGTCTCAACAGCTGAGCTGAGCCCAGCGATAGAGCACTGGTCTCATTGATATTAATAATCAATCTTGACAAAGTGGTACAAATTGCAACTACCTCAAAACTCCTCAGACCCACGGTTATGAAACAACACTATCCATCAATATGTTTCTTGACTTGACCAGGGGTCAGTGCCATGCAGGAACTTTAGCAAAACAGTGCAGGCTCATTTCTGGCCTGTGCGAATCAACTGTCACAGTTCAGTCCACTGTTCTAATCTGCAGTCAAGACCTTTTTACAGCAAAACAATTATCCCTGTTTTGACAGAAATTGAGTTGCCTTACAATTGAAATGCATGCACAGATTCTGAATAAACATTGGCAATAACCAGTGAGGAGGTAGTATGAATTCAAGCAGAAACTAAACCACTAAATAATATCAGCATAAATTTTCTCATATTTTTATACTGACTTTATGATTCTTCTGCCTCCTTAATCTAGAGCTATCTGAACTATAAGGTATACATCTGCTGTATGATTAAGAACCGTAATCAATCTATCATTAATCAACTCTACCTCTTCCTTGGAAAGGCCAATTCTCTTCTGTAGGGATAATGTCCTATGAAACAAAAACCAAAAGACATAGCCACATTAGTATTTTACTATATAGTCACAGTTAGAACTTCCCACTTTTATCATTCATTTTGAGAATGTAGACCATTCCTGGAAGTTTGTTTGTTTTTCTTCAGCTTACTTCCTGGCTCTTCAAAAGAGGAAGACGTTTTGTTTTGTTTTGTTTTGTTTTTTTAAAGATTTTATTTATTTATTCATGAGAGACAGAAAGAGAGAGAGAGGCAGAGGGAGAAGCAGACTCCCAAGGAGCAGGGAGCCCGATGCGGGACTCGATCCCAGGACTCTGGGATCATGACCTGAGCCGAAGGCAGACGCTTAACCGTCTGAGCCACCCAGGCGCC